CCCCACCCCGTCGCCCAGGCTGGAGGGCGAGACGCTCCCGTCCGCCGGGCCCCCACCTCTGGGCTCTGGCCATCCTTCCTCCTCAGCCTTCCAAGTAGTGGAACCACAGGCACGCGCCACCACGCCCGGCTAATTTTTGGATTTATTGTAGAGACGGGGTCTTGCCAAGTTGCCTGGGCCGGTCTTGAACCCTGGGGCTCAGGCAGTCCTCTCACCTCGGCCTCCCAAAGTGTTGGGATTGTAGTCGTGTGCCACCGCGCCCAGCCCCAATCGCCTTTTCTACAAACGCCACTGTTAGCGCATTTTAGATATCTTAGAGATCAACAAGCTGGGGCCCAAAGGAGCCAGAGACTGCCTCTTCCCGTGGCAACAGGTCCACCCAGAGGACTTTCCCCGTCCGTGTCCCAGGACAGCCCAGCAGGCACAGGGCAGTGGGACAACTCAGGACCCTGGAGGTCTCCCTGGAGGTGCCCTGGAGCTGATACACCTGCTCTGAGGTTCCTATGCGCGGGTGGGGGTAGAGGTTCAAAGGAACGTGCTTAGTATGCCCAGGGCCCCTACTTCCACCCTGGCCAGGTCTCCTGCCTTGTAAGGTCCAGGGCAAGTCAGCTCCCCAAGAGCGGCAGCTCCTGACCCTGCAGTCCTCGTGTCCTTGGGTGGCTTATTTTAAAGCTTTTTTTTTTTTTTAGTTGAGGGTCTCACTCTGTCACCCGGGCTGGCTGGAGTGCAGTGGCACGTTCATGGCTCACACAGCCTAGACCTCCTGAACTCCTGCCTCAGCCTCCTAAGTAGTTGGGTGTGCTACCACGCCTGGCAAATTCTTCCATTTTTTGTGTGAAAAGTTCTCCCTATGTTGCCTAGGCTGGTCTTGAACTCCTGGGCTCAAGCACTCCTCCCGCCTCAGCCTCCCAAAGTGCTGGGATTACAGGCATGAGCCACCACACCTGGCCTCCCTGTGTGACTTTATGAGTGCCTGTAGCTACCGTGAGATTGTGGAGGAAATGTGTCTTGTGTTTGTGTGTGTGAGTCCTGGGGCTTTGTGCGTGTCTCTGGGTGGCATTCATGTGACTGCGTGTGCCTCCCTGTGTCTGGGGTTTTGTGTGTGTGCTCCTGGGTGCCCCATCCCCTCTACTCTGTCTCTTCCAGCCCCCAGTGCTCCATGCAGGCCTGCCTGCGTCCTTCGTGCAGGGAGTGACAGCGTCACGGTGCAAGCTTGCACTCCAAGGGTCTGTCAAAGGGGCCTCTAGTGGCCCTGGGCGGCCTTGGCCTGAGACATTGACCTGTGGGGCGGGGAGGGGGCGGTCCCAGCCATGCAGGAGCCAGCAGGACCCAATGGAAGGTGTCCACCCACGGACCCCTGCACTGCGCCCCCCTCCCCCCTCCTCCGCCCAGCCAGCTCAGCCCTTACCCGGGGCTGGAGCCCTGCCGGTACGTGGCAGGGCACGGCGTGTCCACACACTGGTAGCTGCCACGAGTGTTGAAGCACATCTGGCCAGGCCCACACTCGATGTCTTCCTCCTCACACTCATTGATGTCTGGGTGGGGGAGGTCACCAAGGGGGGGAAGGAGATGAAAGGGGGGAGCCAAGGAAACCAGAGAAGTCGGGGTTCAGCGGGGGAGAAAGGCCCTTGGAGGACCAGTGAGGCCATCCCTCTTGTCCCCAGCCAGTGGGACCTGAGACAGCCCAGTGGGGGTTCCTAGCACCTCCCACTTCTTCTGGGGGCCAGGAATCTCCAGGTCGTGGAGGTGGGCACTGTGGGGACTTCCGGAGCCCAGTGTTGGGCAGAAGGGTCTGGGAAGCATGGGCTTGCCCCAGGCAGCCACTTTGTCCTCTGATGCAGAATGCCCACCTCCGTGGGCAGAGTGCCCATCCTTGGCTCCCTGGTGGAAGCCCCACCCTTCTCAGAGGACATTCGCTGACCCCCACGACACAGCAAGGGGTGAAGACGGGCAAAGCAGTCCTGATTCCCATTCTTCAGGGCTCAGGAAGCAGCGTGGCCGGCCCCAGCCCCAGCATGTGTCATGGACAGTGTGCCAGCTGCGTGCCCTGCGGGTCTCCTCCCAGCCACTTGAGGGGAACACTGCATTAGCCCCATTTCACCAGGCACAGAAAGGTGAAGCGAGTTACCCAGGGATACACAGAACAGCAGGGTTTGGCCCTGCAGGGCTGAGTTCAGCGCCTGCCCACGTGACCTTGGGAGGCTCCTGTCTGGTGGCTGGGGGAGCCTGGGGGTGCTCACATAACCCCCCCACTCATCGCCCTGCCCCCACCTCACAGGGTGAAGAGGCCAGGCGGGTGAGATCCCTGCCCGCCCCGCCCCACACCATCCGCCCTCACCCTCTGGCAGATGGCACGCCTGGCCCCGCTTACCCTGGCAGTTCTTCCCGCTGGGGAGGAGGCGGTAGCCGGCGGGGCACAGGCACCGGTAGCTGCCCTCCGTGTTTCGGCAGGCGTGCTGGCACAGACTCCTCACCTGGCACTCATCGAGGTCTGCCAGGGCATGGGGTTGGGGTGGGGGCGGGGAAGAGAGGCACGCTGAGTCACAGTTGCCCAGGGGGCCACACAACTCCCTGTCCTGCCCCGGATTCAGGGGCTAGGAGCCCCACCCCACCCAATGCTGGCCGCGCCACTGGGGAGGGGGCACGGCCTCTGCAGGGTCCAGGGACGGCCCTGACTCCCAACCCCTGTGCCCACCAGACCCTGGTCACATTCTCGTGTCTATCTGAACGTGCTCCTTCACTTCTGAAAATTTCCTTTCCTGACTACTTTTTTTTTTGAGTCGGGGTCTCACTCTGTCAGCCAGACTGGAGTGCAGTGGCACGATCAGGGCTCACCGCAGCCTCCACCTCCTGAGCTCAGGCGATCCTCCCACCTTGGCCTCCCGAGTAGCTAGAATGACAGGCTGGCTAATTTGTTTTTGTTTTTGGTAGAGATGAGGTCTCACTGTGTTTCCCAGGCTGGTCGGAAACATAGTGCCTTGGCCTCCCCAAGTGCTGGGATTGCAGGCGTGAGCCACTGTGCCCAGCCCTGCTTTACTTCTGAGTGTTTCCCAAAGATGGTTCTGGGGAATACTTGTCCAGGAGGCCTTCTGTGGGGAAAGCGTCCTGAAGTCAAATGGTTTGGGAAATCCATCCCCCCTTGGAAGACCCTCACCCGGCAGCACAGCTGAGGCTCTGGGACACCCAGTAAGGAAGCATCATCTTCGCGCATTCACCTGCCACTTGCCTGGGAGTCCCGGGCTCAGTGCATGGTGCCCACACACCCAGAGCCCCAGGTGTCACAGTGGGTGTGTCCCCATGGCATGGTCGGGGCCTGGCCTTACCCACACAGACGCTGTTCTGCCTGATGAAGCCAGGGGGACACCAGGCCCGGCCCGCACTGCCCAGGGTTCCAGGGCCTGGCCGGAGGGACACCCAGGCGTGGTAGGAGCTGCCGGGAATGGGGGCCCGCGGCCGCAGCCAGGGCGCGAAGGGGCCTCGGAGGCTGACTGTGGTCACGTTCTGTCCACTGCGTTCCAGGGGGCCGCAGGCCTTGCCATCGCGCAGGAGGGTCTGGCCTGGGGGACACAGGCAGCGGAAGCCGCCCTGGAGGTTGTGGCACTGGTAGGCGCAGGCCGGGGGCTGCCGCAGACATTCATTGACATCTGTGGAGGGGTGGGGCCAGGGGCAGAGGGTGGCTTCGTCGCTCTGCCTGGCCCCGCCTCCTCTCTTACCCAGCTCTTGGGCTACAGCTGCTCACACATGCGCTGCCTCTAACCATCCCTGGACCACCCCCAGCCTCCTCTTGGACTCCCCGGCTTGGAGAGGCCCAGCCTCCCCAGCTCTGAGCATCACCCACGACTCGGGTTCCCCTGAGACCCACCTCCTAAGCCCCTCTGAGCTCCACCCACACGTGTCCTCTGGGGGTGAGCTTTTGGGCCACAGGCAATAAAGTAAGGACTGGTTGGCTATTTTCAGCATTCACCAGCGTGAGCCTGCGAGTGTTCCCGTACCTAGGCAAGGCAGGCCGGGGCCTTGCATCCGGTAGCCCCTGGGGCAGCCACAGCGGTGAGCTCCCCGGGTGTTCTGGCAGAGCTGGTTGTAGTGGCAATCATCCAACCCCTCCAGGCATTCGTCCACATCTGGTAGGAAAAGGCGTGGTCGGGGCGGGGCCTAGCCCAGAGTCCCGCCCCCAAGGACGCACCATCGCCCTCCACATCTGGCCTCTTTTTCTGTCCCTGCCTCCAGCCTCAGTGCCACCAGGCCGTGGGTAGCTCCAGCACCATCCCTCTCAGTTATATCAGGCCGGAGGTCAGGAGGGTTCTGGGTCCAAAAAAAGGGAAGAGGCTTAAAGGCTGGGCTCTGGAGACAGAGTCCTGGGTTCCGGCTGAACTCTGCCATATTCCAGCTCATGGGCAAGAACCCTCTCTGAACCTCAGTTCAGAGGGTAAGGACGCAACCTTTCCATAGGGTCGTGGTGAGGAGAGGATCGGGCCCTGCCTGTGAAGAGCTTAGGAGCCTGGTATGTGGAAGAGCTAAAAATTAAAGGATGATAGGCTGGGCACCGTGGCTCACACCTATTATCCCAGCTACGCAGGAGGCTGAGGTGGGAGGATCACCTGAGCCCAAGAGGTTGAGGCTGCAGTGAGCCGTGATCATGCTACTGCCCTCCAGCCTGGGCGACAGAGTGAGACCCCAACTCAAAAAAAAAAGGGAAGGAGGGAGGCAGACAGGAAGGCAGGAGGCAAAAGCGCCCAAGAAATTGTCCAAACACCCGAGGGCCATGAGGCCCACAGAGGTGCAATGGCTGCCTCCTCCAAGGTCAGACTTCACCCTGCTACCCTCTCCACCAGCCAGCCTCCAAGTAGCCATAGGCTGCTACAAGGAGCCATAGGCTGCTACAAGCCATAGGCTGCTACAGCAAGAAGGACCCTTCAGGCCACCATCTAGGAGGGCCACCTGGGTTTCATCTCTAATGCACCTGATCCACAGTGGCGGCTGGAGCCCCTGTGCTGAGAAGGATGCAGAGACTCTCTCTAGCTGGGCCACTATCCTTGGGGGAATGAGGGTAGAGGAAATGACAGCAGAAGTAGCATATGTGCCCCTTCCTGACCTGGTCCTCCTTCATGGAACAGAAGAGCAACCCGGGGCCCAGAAAAGCAAAGACCTGTGTCAAAGGGCACTCAAGCTGCCAGGAGTCAGGCTGGGCCGAGACTCAGACCTCCCAAGCCCAGCTCCTTCCACCGAGAAAATCCTGGTCTCCTGGAAGTCCAGCATCCCGGGAACACACAGCCCCCAGTCGGCCGGTCCTTGGCCATCCCTGCGCCCCCGTCACCTTCACAGCCAGCCCCATCAGCAGCCTCCTGGAAGCCGGGCCCGCAGTCAGGGAGGCAGCGGTAGGACCCCAGTAGGTTCACGCAGCGCTGTCCCTCGGGGCACAGGTGGGCATCCCATGCACACTCATCCACGTCTGAGGAGCAGAGCAGGACGGATGGTTGCGTGAACATGCCCCCTCCACCCGGCTATCCTCACCACCTCCGACTCTGGCCAGCCTACTCCATAGATGTGGTCCCCAGGTCTGGGAGACCCTTAGCAGGAAGGTCCCCACTCTTGCTCATTCTATCATCCCCCCCACCCCTGTGAGGCACAGAGGCCACCCCAAGGACCCAAGGGCCTCAGCTCCCAGCTTCCGATATAAGGTTGCAGACAGCACCCCCTTGGGCACCCAACTCCAAGCCAAACGGAGGCTTGGGGCAGGGATCCCAGGGTCGGATCTGTCATCCATTATGCTAGGCACGGTGGCCCACGCCTGTAATCCCAGCACTTTGGGAGGCCAAGGCGAGAGGATTGCTTGAGCCCAGGGTTTCAAGACCAGCCTGGGCAACTTGGCGAGACCTCATCTCTCCAATGAATCATAAAATTAGCTGGGTGTGGTGGCTCACGCTGTAGTCCCAGCTACTTGGGAGGTTGAGGTGGGAGGATCGCCTGAGCCCAGGTCAAAGCTGCGGTGAGCCATGATTGTGCCAAAGCACTCCAGCCTTGGCGACAGAGTGAGATTCTGACTCAAAAAAAAAACCTGTCATCCAGCAACGTTGCTGAGTAGGACACATAGAGCAAGCAGAGACAGACAGGCCTTGGCACCCTTGTCGGCCCAGGTGATAGGAAAGGATGCATGTTGGGAAAGCTTCAGTGGCCCACCCAGGCTCGGCGGTAGGAGGGCCATGAGCATGTGAGGCCACACACCTGTTTCTGCTTCTGGGGATTCCCTCACTCCTCCATACCTGAGGCTTACTCTTCTAGCCGGAAGAGTGCTGGCGGGGACACAGCATTGGGATCCCAGCCTGGCATCCCACGCTCAGAAATGGGCCATTCCTGGTGGTATCTGCACCCGGGTCAGGGTCCTGGCCCCGGGGACCCTCCTGCACACCTGGGCCAGGTCCCAGAAGCACCTGCCCACCCAGGGGCTGGCTCACCTCGGCAGTTCCTGTCATCCCAGGCCAGGGTGAAGCTGGCGGGGCAGGAGCAGGAGAAGCGGCCTGGCGCATTGAGGCAGGAGTGGGAGCAGGGACTGGGGCCGCCCAAGCACTCGTCCCTGTCTGGGACAGGAAGGGAGCTGGTCCTCCCCCCTCCCAGGCTCTCCTGCCTGCTGCCCCTGGGGAAAGGCCTCTTGTGTTTGTGCGGGGTACAGGGGGTGCTCACCCACACAAAATGCTCCCTGGGAGTCCAGCTCAAAGCCCTCAGGGCAGCCGACTTCATTCTCCTCTGCAAGGGTCAAAGGGGACAGGCACTAAGGCCACGAGCCCCTTCCCAGGCCGCATCTCGGCCTGTCCCGAGCCAGGTCAGTGCCAGGGAATCAACGAGCTCTTTTTGCACCCCAGCCTGGCAGAAGCGATGGCTGTGGGATGTATCTGAGCCCTGGGAGGGCTTCTGGTGGGATGGGACAATCCAGGAGACGCCATTCAAGTGAAACACAAGAGGCCAACCTTGCAGGACTGTCCTCCTGAGACCCCAGCGCCTGCGTGGAGGGTGGGCAGAGGGGCAGAGAGACAAGCAGCAAGGACAAAGGTGGGGTGGGGCAAGCTGGGTTCTGGAAGAGAAGGGCACCTGCCACCCTCGATAGAGTGGTCACCAGATGCCCGGCTAGGGTTTCAGGGGCAGCATTTCTATAGCAGGCGATGTCATGCCCGCCGTGTGGATGGGAACACCGAGACTCAGAGAGGGCCAGGGCACTGCCCTTGAGGTCTCACAGCCACAAAGTGGTGCAGGTGGGATTTGAGCCATGGTCTGCCTGGCCTCAAAGCTGTGCTCTTGTTCAATGTTTAAAAGATTTGGGGCCTGGGTGTGGTGGCTCATGCCTGTTATCCCCACACTGTGGGAGGCCGAGGTGGGAGGATTGCTTGAGCCCAGTTCGAGACCAGCCTGGGCAGCATAGTGAGAACCTGTCTCTACAAAAAAAAAAACCAGAAAAACGCACTGGGTGTGGTGGCGTGCAGGTCGGTCGAGCCGTGATTGCACCACTGCACTCCAGCCTGGGTGACAAAGTGAGACCCGGACAAAAAAAATGGGGACCTCAAATACTGCTAAAATGTGTGTCTTGGCATATTTAGCATCCACCGGAGGAGAAGATAAGGCACGTGGTGAGCTCCAGGGGCTCCGACTGTGGCTCCCGGTCCCTGGGTGGGGTCTTGGCACAAGCACCCTTGGGAGAAGGGAGTGGGGTATGGCTCAACTCTCAAACGCTAGGCTGGGCTGGCTGGGCTTTGACCCGAGCCTGGAGAAGCTTGAGGTCTGCCCGGGAGTGTCCTGGAGAGCTGTGTCCCCGGGGAGGTATGGGCGGGACAGGCCGGAGGTGAGTGGACCGGGTGAGCCACCTGTGGTCATGGAGGTCGGAGTGGGTGGCTTTCACTCAGGCTTGTGAGCCCCAGGGGCTTTTTTAGCTGGGACAGCGGGGCAGGGACAAGGCCGGGGCCTCACCGGCTTGCAGGGCTGTGGTGAGCTGGAAGCGCAGGGCCTCGGCCTCGGGGTCGAAGGCCGTGCTGATAGCCGAGGCTCGCAGGTGCTGCACCAGCTGGGGCTGGGGACCCCGTGCCGCGTCGTACCGGATGCTGTGGTTGCAGCGTAGGGACCCGGGGATGCCGCCCTGGAGGAAGCGCTGCGTGGAGCCCACGAATAGCTGGCCGGGCCCTGTCTGCACATAGCGCTCCTGGAAG